TCATTCTTAGCTATTGGCACCAAAATAAGCCGTCGGCTCGTAATCACCTCAGTTGGGTGTTTAGTTTGCCATAAGGACAGACGAGCACAAACGACAACGGGACGGGACTTTCTTTGCGTTATATAAATCCTTGCTCATTACGATCACCATTACACAACCATCATCTCCTGAAATTCAAAAGCCTTATTTAGCACGGGATTTGAGTGTTGGGGTCAGCAGTCAACTCTTGTTACTCCAAATTCACCAGTAAATGCGGCAAGGAATGGGCTTTTCATCACGCACCCAGCAATACACCACACATACGTGCACAGCTGCTGACATCTCACACCAGTGCAGTGGTTTGTAGATGATGTCAATAGAACCTTCAATTAGTCACTCAGTTCGGATAAGTGAAAACAACTCGAGTGGTCTTGTTATATGCACTCCCTTGTTTCGGGGTCAAAAATGTCTCCTCCTTAAGTACAATCCCTAGCTAAGGTTCCACCTTACTAATATTGATACTTCTCTTATTAGGTGGCAATTGAAATTCATCCACAGTTTTTTGGTTTGATAATTTTTTCCGAGAAGTAAAAAAATTTCCTTAAAACATGCTGCATGAGCGAATGCACCTTGACATATGTGGGCCATTTTTTCATCAAGAAGAGAGTCAATTAAGGAGTTGGCACAAAGCCTTATAACTAACTGCTGACGAATTAAAGGCGAAAGGCTATCCAACCATGGGTGTTTTTGATAGTCAGGCTATTATGGCTTAGATGTCTATCCAAGAGGAGGTCCGGGTACTACAGCTGTCGCTTAAGTACCTTTACAGGCATGAGTCTCTTTGTTTACGTCGTGAATTTATATCCTGTTGTTGATGACATCCTTGTCAAAAAGATGTTTTTCTTACGAACAAGTTGCTTCTGTCTCATCTTCTCCGTTAACAACTGTTGGATAAGGAGGTGCTTTGCACAAACCGACACGTAGCAGTACGAGGTGTCTTCGAACGGAGGGTTTTTGAATCGCCTATTTGAACAGCAGATAAGTCTCTTATTATAATTAATCCCTCTTCCATAAAATGTGATTTTCGTTCATTTTTCGCCATGCAAAATAATGCGTAAGTAAAGAGCTTTTCTTTTCGGCACTTACTTGGGCATTTTTCGCGCAATACAAACAGCTCTGGCGCTGTTGGAAACACAAGCCTAAAACACACCTCTCAATTGCTGACGCACCAATTCCAGACTTACAGCCACCATAGTTGGCTTTCAATGACTTTATTCGTCGCTGTTAGCATACTTCTGGTAATCCGAATACCAGTTATTAAAGTAGCGCTGACCAAGGGCTCAGTTTTGTTGCAATGACGCAGATGGAAAAGTTGACAAGTTTGGTAAACAACGAAACACAGCCAGACAAAATTTCCAATAAACTTTCTATGCTGCATGGACAAGAAGCAAGCAGAGGAAGAAGAAGAATGAAGAAGCGCACTTTATTACTTCATTAGCTAAATACACCGTTTTCCTTTCATTCGGAAAGGTTGCCATTCCTACGTCATGAAAGCATATCTGTTTTTACTCCCATTGACTCTTCGTAAACATTATTTGTTTAATTATTTTTTTTATGTGAAAATTCTTGAAATGAGGTAACTCCTAACAACCACTTTCGTCGATGCAAATGATGTTTTGAACTAACCGTTTCTGACATTTTGATAAGTTCGGCCTTGTGTAGATTGTTAACATTAATTAAAGGGTGACGGTGCGAGAGGCATCGGAATTTGTTTAACAGACTGTGTTATTAAGAGCATGAACAGTGAACCATGTCGGATTGGTTTCACTTGTGCGGCAACTGATCATTTAATAATCTGTGCGCAGAGTTTCCGAAAACTTTTGGTCAACATTGGCTTATCCAATGGCAGTAAGTGTTTTTCTTGTCCCATTAAAGGGAAGAACTCTTGTACGTGACCTTTTAAACTGGTGTTTGAAGTTTGAACCAACTGCATATTTTAGGAAATGAATTTGCTGCTCAAATTCGCATGACCGTCAACTCATAGCCTTCTCAAAAGATTACACCATTAACAAATATTTCCATGTCTCTCACATTTGCCTTCTATCCAAAAGCTTCATCGACCTGTGCTTCTATAAGATCCTGCCGTAGCTAATAAACCGATCATGCCCATTACGCACCCAAAGTAAAATCTGTTCTTTAGCGCTTTCAGCTCTATTCAGGAGAGAGAAACCCTAGGCTAAACTCCATTAGGAGTCAACAAAACCGAATGCACACAGTCTCAAAACCAGCCACTCTGCTTAATATTTTATTTAATTTGATTCGGAATGAACCTGAGGAGTTGGTCAGCTTCGGTTCGACATTGGCAGACACCGTTTGTAGTGTAAACACTGACTCTTGCCAATCTCATGCTGCCAACCTTTTCTCATTGATTAACAAAATCTTTGGTGGACTTTCCGCGCCTCTTTGAGCGCTCCAAAAGGTGCGTGATAGCTTCAATACTGCGCTAGCACTGTTCGCACAAAATAGTACATCGATGTTACTTTGTCAGTTCTTGGTGTGCCAACATTGTATGGGCTTCAGTCTTCGCAGCGTAATCAGTTTTTACCCCTTAAAAGAATAAGTATCTTCATTTTTACCATATTTCTACTTATTTTAGAGAAATTTTGAGAATGTCAGTGGCATAAAGGCCCGAATACAACTGCATTAATGAGTTGCAGAAAAACCCATCGAATAATAAGCGCTAGCCGAAAAGAAAATTAACTATCAGAGTAGGAAAGAAGGCCAGTTTACAGCCATTCCAAAAAGTTAGCCCTGACAATTGCATAACAGAATGCGAACACCTCTTCATGACACTTACTTTGCAGAGCTCTCAGTATGCAAAATACCTCCACTCCCACCAGTTTCTGCTGTTCAGCCTGGATGATACCAGCCATCCAGCTTCCATAAGGACTTTCCATCGTCAGCACGGTTCACCGGTTGATAACCCATGACCAGATCACTATTTCTTCATGGTCTCATCCACTCAAGAGCATATTAACTCTAATTTTAGTCATGTTGTACTTGGCTAAATTCACTCTGTGGACGCTGAAGTCTTGCTTTGCTCACGGTGGTCTCATCTTTTGCCCCTTTAGACGTCTAGACTATAGAGGATTTGCTCCACTGAAAACCGCTGCCATATACAGTGCCCATATTAAGATAGATTTCATTATTTTTTGCATAGGGTGTGTTTAAGCAAAACACCATGCAGTTTAGTTTATTGTCGCGCCAGTAGATAGTTGACTCTTGTTGAACCCACGGACAGCTAGCTACACAAACAATTCCAATAATGTGATCGGCAGAAGCCGTCGTTGGAACTTATCATAGCGTTCACATTGTCGTTACGTCCTTCTCATGAGATGTGAAAAGTCAATTCCTTTCTCTTGCATTGTTATCGCTCATTTTAAAACCCGGACACGCTCTTAAACTCACTTAGACAGCATGGGATGTTCATTTGATGCTTCGAGATGTTCCACTACCCTCAATCCCTGATACGGATTGCTTTAAGCTGCACAAGAAATGTTTGGATAAGTTTAAGTGCTGGCGTCTATAAAATCAAGTCGTCTATCAATAGATTCAGTAAGGGGTAAAAATATAAGCCCTAATTTCAATACTAAATCATGAACGGCCGATTATGCGCACTCAGATGGCCATAAAACAGTGAATAAAAGATGAAGCACGATGAAGCCATGTTCGTTGCGTTTGACATGGCAAAACGGCTCTTCGAACCCATCCCTTAAAGATGCTTTGTAGTAACATGTACTCAACTTGAAGCCTAGCTTAAGGATGTGGTTTACGAAAGAATGATGAAGTGAGACAAGACATGAAAGTGTACACAAATCCAAACCCCTCGACACTTAAATCAACCTCTCGAGTCTCTTCATGAATGAGTGATGTTGCGCTTTAGCTCTAGAATAAACAACCTCTCCAGATCTCAGTAAGTGTTGTAGATACATTGGCAACACATTCCCTCAGAGCGCCTCTTCATGGCATAAAGATTGAGTAGAAGTATACCGGCCGCAAAAATGGTAAAAGATTAAATAAGCCCAGGATCCAATATTCGCATAAAAATCGATGTCGAAAACCCCGTCGCTTCCATTTATGCTATGCAAATTTTGTGAATGGTAGCCAACACTTCAATACACAGGATAGTCTGGGGCTAAATAGAAATGCAGACATAACCAAAGTTGATTCCATTTAGTGCCTCTGATGTCGTGCGTCAGAGGGACAATGGAGCGG